AGATAGATAGATAGACAGACAGACAGACAGACAGACAGAATGAGCAAGCGAGCCAAGGTTAGAGTCCCATACTGTAGGCTACTTCAGCTGACTGCTAGCTGCAGTTCAGCAGTTCAAATCTCACCAGACTCAGGTATATAAGTTTAAGTGCTATTGTGAAAGGTAGGTAGGTTGGTAGTGAGAGGGAGGGAGGGAGGAGTGGAGTGGAGTAGAATAGGATAAGAGATAGCAGCATAGATAGCCATAGCACTTAGATTTATATCCCGCTTCACAGGGCTTTACGGCCCTCTCTAAGCAGTGTGCAGAGTCAGCCTTTTGCGCCCCCCCCCCAACAATCTGGGTCCCCAGTGATGGTCCCAAGGTCCTGAGAATGGCTCCAGAGGCTCCCACGGAGTAAAGCCTTGCTTTTCGGCTTCCTTTCTGTTCTAAGTTTGACTTCTCAATTGCTTTAATGACCTCCCTGCGCGTGAGGGGTGGGGGAAGCCCCTCTTCTTCCAATCCTCTCCTCATCCCCGTAAAGGCAGGACCCCTCGTATTAAAGGGGGTGGTGGTCCTTCCTTAAGTTTCCTCCAAAGGCATCACGGTTAGAAACTGAATCTCTGCCTGGGAATGACGCAGCGATTACATTTTTCTCTGGGAGGGGGAAGAAGGGGGGGGAGTATTTTATTTCTTTACTACCTCAGTCTCTGGACTCTCTCCTAAACACCTACGGAGCGCCTTTGTTGACGATTGGGGTGGGGGGGTGGGAAACACCCCCTCCCAAGGTGAATAAAATCAAGAAGATACTTGTTAAGGGACACTGATCTGAATCACAGTCCTACTATCCTGTCCTGCGGTATAAAAGGGACACGTATTACATTAAAGGCTTCTGTCTGATCGTAAGAAGGGCGGGGGGGGGGGGCGGCGGTTTGGCAGTAGGATTTCAAGATAATTTGAAGATGCAGCGGGCTGAATTATAGGAGCCCCGGGGCTAAATGTTTATTATTTTAACGGCGTTAAGTATTAACACCTACTTTACGCAGAGGGGTTGATGCAGTGTCCTTAGCAGACACCGGAGTAGTCCAGATGGGTGATTTTTAAGAACTATTAAGCTCTGCGGAAAAGACAAAGAGCAGAAACACTGGGGGGGAGGGGGAAAACCCCCCACATGAAGTATTAACCAGCCTGCTTTCTTTTTAAAAGATCCTATTAACCAATTAATTCCCTCTGCACCTCCCACCTCAGCCCTCTTCTCATCTCTCCAGGAAGAAACGAGCCGATGTTATCGTCCCCCTGAAAGAATTTTCGGCCTTTTGTCGGTTAAATTGATACTAAAAACAAGAAAAAGGGGGAAGGGGGAATATCGCCCCACACGTCTCCCTGCAGGAGGATAAGGAATTGGGGAAAGAAAAGCCAAGCTTGCGGCTTGCGATATGCTCCCAGCGAGGTCTTTTTAAAATTTATTTATTCACTTTTTTTTTTTAGGGAAGCTCCGACATTTGCTGACATGGATCAAAGAGAACCTCCTGAAAGAGAGGCCTGAATTATTTGTGCAAGGAGACTCAGTGTGAGTACACAGTCCGCACACACACACACACACACACACACGAGCAGAGAGGCTCACAGCTTTTATCGTTTGCAAACGAGGGCACGCCTTCTAGGAAATTCCCTCGCAAGGCCCAATTTTGGGCCATTTTGCTCCCATTTCGAAATGAAACCCGGCTAGTGCCTGTCGTAGGATGGGGTTGCATCGATTTGGTGTCTATTTGACGATACGGTGTTTTTTCTCTGGCTCTTCCCAGCCAACCGCCCTCCGATTGTAGAGGCTTAACCCTCCGCGTTCAGTCCTGAGTGGAGATGAGAAACAATGATCTCTCCCTCAGCTGGGCCTGTCTTCCTAATCCTCCACGCCACACTGCCCCTGTCCGTGGAAGCGCCTCGCTCTCCCGTAGCTGACGTCTTCGAGGGTGTCTCCACGCCATCCGCCTCCCGCCATTACCATCCTGGAAGAACGGAGACGGTCGACTTCACGCAGCCTTTGTGGAAATCCTCCCCCTTTTCAAGTCCTTTCCCCTCCCACCCCTTCCTAAATTTCCCCTCTGCAGTGAGACCAGGATGGCTTGGTTAGCATTCGTCCTGTCATCCCCTCCATTCGGTGTGGGAGGGCAGCTTGGGGCGCCAGTTCTTTCCAACCCCTGAGAAATACAATGGCTAGGAAGCCGAAGATAGATTGGGGGGGGGGGATTCCTGTCGATCACGATCCCACAGGCTTTCTGTGGGATCTTAGCTGATACTTCGCTTTTTTTTCTTTCACCGCATCTATGCTCAGTCCGCAGGGCAGATTTAAATTACAGGCATGAACAGGATTGTACCAAGCCGGTGATGACGTGTTGCCTCGGAGCATTTTAGGACAGATATCTCTCAATCAGTCACAGCCTATCCCGATGCTAACCAGGGTTGCTTGGCCTCAAGGCCGTCTGGCATTCAGCCTATGGGCACTAGTCTCCAAGGACCTTCCAAACGAGACCACCCCAAAACCCTTTTTAAGGTGGGCGAATCCGAAAACCCGCAAGGGGGGGGGAAACACCACCCCGCTTTAATCCTTAACGGATGCAAACTTCAGTTGTTGGAAGCGGATTTGCAAGCGACTGTCACAGCCTGTAAGAAGCTAAGGAGGCCGGGCTAAATTTGCAGCTCGCTGTTAACGATGGATCTCCTTGATGGATGTCGCTTGGTTAGAGAGGGCAGAATAAATGCTGCGAGGAAGCTGTGAAAATTGCAGGGGTCGTTCTCCCTTGAAGAGGATTAAAAGCAGGAAGGGTCATAGTTCCAGCATACGGCAACATTTTAAAAGGCCTGGCAGGACAACAGGAGTTCTTAAAACCCTAATTTAATTCACATACGGGAAATAGATCTTGGCTGAACCTTGGGAGAAATTTTTGGGAGGGCGGAAATAAATCAGCCATGGGACATGGTTTAAGTGCGCTCCCAGACAAATCCTGCCACTGCCGAACAGGTTCCTAGACCCACAACCTGTTCTCTTAACAGCTTCTCTGTTTTCCCTGTAGGCGCCCAGGAATCCTGGTGCTTATTAATGATGCAGATTGGGAGCTGATGGTATGTCTCATTTTGGTTATGCGGAGGGTGTCTACTTTCTTGGTGGCCAGAAGGGAGGACAAAGGGATTGTGATGTCAGTTTTTGGGGTATCCCCTTCCCGTTCTGGATACTGAAATGAACCATCCCTGTCAGGGGTATTCACTTACCTTCCCTACCGGTTCGCAAAGGGGAACGCATGCGCTTTGGGTGGGAAAAAAAGGGCCTAAATGGGCTGCCGTAAAGGTGGGGCAGGACCACTCGCGATTTCCGCTACTGGTTCGGGCAAACTGGTCCAAACCCGTAGAATGCAACCTCTGATCCTTCTCTTATTTGATACCCACTGGGGTTTCCAATCCTCCTCGGCTATTTTGGGGCATTTCACCTGGGTTAAGGAGGAGCAAAGTGGACTTCAGCGCCTTCCAAACCATCCCTTGACCGTGAGGCGCAAAGGATCAGGGCCACTGGTTGAGTGGTCATTCGTAAAGATTTATTGCTTAAGCCAATATACAGTCAACTATCGGTCAGCACTAGAGAAGGGTCAACAGAAAGAGTTACCCTGGGTAAGATGGGCGGCCAATAAATTTTGCAAAGAAATAAGGAGAATTCAGTGGTTACTGGACTTGGATCTCTTGTGGCGACGCAAGGATGCTAAACTGATGGCACGTTTTACTCCGCCTTCCAGCTCTGTCTGCTCATCTCCTTCATTGCTTTCTTTCCTTCCTTGCTTCCTTCAGGGCAACCTGGACTATCAACTGCAAGATCGGGATCATGTGGTTTTCATCTCCACCTTACACGGGGGTTAGGCCCGCCAGGGAGGGGCTGTCCCCAAAACAGCAAGGAGGACAAAAGTAAACCGCCTGGGTTGAGCCAACTTCGTCAGAAAGCCAACGTTTTTGGAGCGCCTGGACCTACCTGCGGGGTTGAATCCCAGCTTTGGAGGGGAAGAATGTAACTCTGGAGAATGTTATCTCGGGTCAGTGGGCCAGGCGAGCCCCCGAGATGTCATCGACTGCGCGAAATGACTTGGGGACCACAGGGCTGCAGCTGAGCCCTGTTGTGGTTTGCAGCGAGCGAGAAATCCCCGTCTTTTTTTTCCCCCTCCCTAGCAGCCCGACAAGACAATCTCAGGGCTGGGATGAGACAAGGGCAGGAACTTTCTCTGCCTCTGATCCAGCCTTCCAGGCCTTTAGGACCACAGTCTCTGCCTTGGCTTGCCTCTCTTTGATCCGCAGGCCTTATTCGTTGCGACAGGCCTCCAACCGGCATTGCGCTAGCTGAACCGGAAAGAACCTGCGCGGCCCACCTACAAATCCTTGCTTTGAATTTAGGGTGTGCGTTACGCGTGTACCAAAGTTGTGCAAAACTCTGGACTGTTTGAGGGCCTCCCGCTTGTGCAGGGGGCTGGACTAAGAGACCCCCAACTCTTGTTGTTCTTATTCCCTTGCTTGCCTTCCTTGTACCTATATTTTAAATAAATATTGTGCGGAGCTTCCTGTGCTTATAACTCACCCGCTAACCACGGTTTATGTGCCCCTTCCATTAGGGCAGTGTTTTTCAACCTTGGCGACTTTAAGTCCTGTGGACTTCAACTCCCAGAATCCCCCAGCCAGCAGAGCTGGCTGGGGAATTCTGGGAGTTGAAG